CGACTCTTAATTCCAGATTTTTATTGAATTCAAATTCCAGGCAACGTTTTGGGCCTGCTCATCGGATGCTGTCTGACCAGCTGTGTTTCTCCAGCCTCACATCTATAGATACAAATGAAGTCAGCACAGAATGCGAGCAAGTGCCTCTGAGCTTCAGCCTGATCCATTCCACAAGCTGGGTGCCTGTACATGTACTGGCAGCAACATTATCATTAATGGTGTTGGTGCGCTCCAAAGCGCAGCGCTGAAGCAGGGGGTACAGATTGGGAACGTGCCACAATGACTTGGTGAGGCTGGTACATGTCAGATGCCCAGGTCCAGGGGCAGGGAGTGTACACAATTGTTGCTCCAAGATATTGGCGCCTGGTGTCAAGTTTGAGGGTTCAGAAGAATAAGTGGCAAAGCAGGAGGAAGCAAAGGTAAAGTGAGGAAAGACGTTTTTCAGTCAGTAAGTGGTTACTGCGTGCAATGTATTGTCTGGAAATGTGGAGGAGGCAGGTGCAGTTGAGGCATTCAAGACAGCACTGGATGATTATTTGGATAAAACTAACGAACAGTATGGGGGAAAACACAGGAGGCTGGCACTAAGTAATGATGCTTTTTAACCAGCTTGCACAGGTACAATGGTTCAAATGGCCTTCTCCTGCGCGCTCTTGATATCCTCATCTGGATTTGCCAGACACCTGACTTCTGACTCTCATGTTGGGAATTGTTGCTGTCTAGTTTCTATGCGGTAGGTGCGGGAATGGGAAACTGCATACTAATAAGATTAACTCACAAAGGGAGGTTAATACAAGAGGATCTGGCAAGAATCGTACCTCGTCATTACAATGTAGGGTTTCTTCCTAACAACATCAAAAAGCACATTGCTGGCCATCAAGTCATTTTACACTGTAGCACATCGTTCAGGGGCTCTGACAATTCCACCCACAGGATCAAGATCAAGGGGCTCTTTGTTTTGGACCAAGATCATGAGATTTCTTTTGCACTCAGAACATTTGTCCATCTTGGGAAGTGTTCACCCCAGGGAGCGATGGATGCGTACATTCAAGATTGGGATTGACAACTTTTTGAGCATGAGGAAACTCATGCTCAAATCTCTCATTTCTAATGTTCTTACAATGCCACAATGTGCATTCTGCTCTCCATGACTTTAGCATCACTTGATATTATGGGCTACCTTGGACAGCGCACATTACTCCAATTATGACCTAACCAGTGGCTTGCATATATTCACTCAAACATTTGAACTGTAAAACCTAAAAACAGCTAGCCCAGCCTTATGGCTTTAAATAGCCACACAAAATTGCAAACTGCATTTCAGTTTCAGCAACAGTCTGTATGACTGGATCTTCCAGTTTCTTATCATTGAGTACACACTTCCACTTTGTTATTCCACCCAAATTATACCAAAAAACAATTCCGAGATCGCTGCCGTTAACCTCCCTCTATCACAACTGTTTGTGCCACACTCAAATCAGCAGACACATGAATTTGATGTAAAAACTGTAGATCAAAGCAGGACAGCTACAGTAGCATTTGGCTGCATCCAATTTGTGGTTCAGCCATAATTTGACAATTTGTCAGCCCCAGTTTAGACCTCTAGAACACAACATAAACTACACTGCTGCACCAAGCCTGCCCTGAATCTACTTACCAGCACCAATAAAAGTCAGCTCATCAAAAGCACACTAAATTAGGAGGCCACTCAGCCCCTCAAGCCTGTTTTACCGTTCGATAAGTTGACGACTGATCTGACTGTTGCCAAACTCCATTTTCTCATCTGAAACCCCCACCAAAACATCAGTAATTCCCTTGTCAGTCAAAAATCTAACTCAGCCTTGAATACATTCAATGACTCACCCCATCTCAGGCTTAAGTGGGAAGCTCAATTTTTTTTTAAAGAAGACATTATCCACTAGTTCTAGTCTCTACAACAAAAGGCGTCTCTCAGCATTTACCCTGCACAGGAGGGTAATTTCGATAAACTGAATGATTTGAGCAGCAAGTAAAAAGTAAGCCTCATCATATGGATATCTCAATTGCTTCCACATGTTCAGTTCAACTGCCCCTGAACTGGTACAGGTTTACAGCAAGGAACACAAATGTATTGCACGAGTTGTCCCTAAAAGGTTGCAGGGAGGTTTATTGGCCAGCTGCAACCTCCTAGCCAAACGTATTCCCACATTGCTGTCCACAAAGGAGTTTTCACCCAATGTCAATGAAGGAAATGAGAATGGTGAGGGTGGTTAAAAGGTACGGACATTCCCATCTGTTTCTGCCCTTCCCTCCAGGTACAGGGTGGAGGTCCCGGGTTTGAGAGGTTCTGCTGAGGAACCCTTGGCAATCACACATCATCAAGGGAGGTAACAGCCTTGTGGTATTATCGCTGGACTGTTAATCCGGGCACCCAGGGAATGTTCTGAGGATCCGGGTTTGAATCACGCATGGCACTTGGTGGAATTTGAATTCAATAAATATCTGGATTTAGGAGTCTAATGATGACCATGAATCAGTCGTCAATTTTCAGAAAAACCCATCTGGTTCACTGATGTTCTTTAGGAAAGGAAACTACCATCCTTATCTGATCTGGCCTACATGTGAGACTCCAAACCCACAGTAATGTCCTCTGGGCAATAAATGGACAATAAATGGTGGTCTAGCCAGTGATGCCTCATCCCTTGAACGAATTTTTAAAAAAAATCCAAACCTTCAGAGTAAAATTCAGCACTGTAACAGTGTGTGGCCAACAGAGGCACAGTCAAACAAGGCAGATATGAACAAGGTGCAATTTTCTGGTGAGCTGCAACTTTAGTACAACGAAGGCACCGTCACTGCAAGCTAGTAAGAATTGTATTCTTACCTGGCATCACAAAGCCAGCTCCTGGCAGGGCTGCAAACATGGTGCTCAGTAGCTTCTAATTAGTTTGCAAATGATAAGCAAGTTGAATTTGCGTATTGAAGTGCGTACTTGTAGTTAGTCCCAACATCAAGTGGGAGAACAGCTGGAACTCTCATTTACCATCCAGCACTGAATCAAACTGGCACTCGGTGTGAACTGTCACACTTAAATCAGTAGGATTACTTGTTCAGGGCATTTGGTAATATTCTGTGAAAAACTCTGCTTTTAATTATTCGTTGAGACCAAATAGCACATCAAAAATGTTACGGAATTTAGTAACGGTCTTAGTAGCAGCTGATTCCATAACAGATGCTGCAGATACTTTTGAACAATGGGGCCACAACTGGACAAGAAGCTCACAGATCCCACAGTCAAGCCCCTCTGGGTGAAGGCATGACAACGAAGGCACTGTGTCTGCTCATTTGTGAAGCAGTGCAGGTTAAAACCCAATTAAAACCCTGACAGTAAGGAAACCAGTCATGCAACTGAATGGCTCTCCCTGCAACTCTAATCCACATGCTTTAAACTCTGTGCTAGGTACTCAGTTCCACTGAACACAGAGACCACCCATCACCGTCATCTTAAAACAAATATGTCGAATATCATCAGGTCTGGCAGCATCAGTGAAGGGAAAAACAGAGTTAACGTTTCGGGTCCGGTGACCCTTCCTCAGAACTTCTCCAGCAACTTTATTTTTGTTTTTGTTCCTGATTTACAGCATCTGCAGTTCTTTCAGTTTTTATTTATGTAGAATATCATCATCAGTCTGGCCAATTTTAAAAGTCATAAATTTCTTTTGGTGTTTAATATACATCAGACTTTGCTTGATGTTTCTGAGGTAACTGCATGAAACTAAATCACTAAGACTGGAGATCAAATTACTATGAGGGCTGGACATTTCAAATAAAGATGGAAAATGTTGGAATGACAATGTAGAGATCACTGGAAAGAAAAACAGCATTAACGGGCAGAGTCTTGCAGAGGAGTCAGAAGTCTTGCCTGCTGGAGATTCAGCAAGGCAGCCTCTTTTCATAAAGACCCACTTAATTAGCCAATCAGGCAATGGCAAGGCCAGCTTCCTCTGAAATAAAGACCCCAGGAGGTCAATGACTCACCTAAATATCCACGACATGACTCAAATGCCCTCTGAGATGGCTTTACTAACCGCTCAAGGGCAATTGGGGATGGGCAACAGAAACCATCAAAGCAAATCTTTGCTCAATCTGATCTCACTTGGGGACAAGGCATTGCAATAGATTTCTACTAGCAGGAACAAGTAACCAGTATGTATAAGCTGCAAGTGGAATCAAAGTCATTTAAGTATGAGGCACTGAAAGAAACCATTCAGCCCATCGGTTCGCGTCAACTCCTGGGACAATAACACATCGGTCACATTCCACTTCTCTCTGCCGACAGCCCTGCATGTTCATTTCCCTCAAGGCCCATCCAACCCTCCTTTGAAATCATTGTAGTTTCCACCAACAGTTCTCTGAGCTACACAATTCTGCAGTCAGTGGGAAGCTACACACGTGATAATTTATGTGCTGACTCTCTCATGCATGGATCTCAGTGGTCTATGCAGCAGCATCAGAAAAAAAACAAATTAGAGGGAACATTCTTCTTCACTTACACCAAGCTGGCAAGCAGTGAATTCAGTTCGTCGAATAAAAATGCCCATCACTCACATTCATGGACACACCCCTGCTCTGTATTCGCTTGCTCAATACCTTAAGCCTGTGTCTCCTCGTTCTTCTGTCACCCATAATGGAACAGCTTTTCTTTATTCTGAACCAGTCATAGTGTTGTACACTTCAATAAAAATCTTCCCTCAATCTCCTTTGCTCCAACCTAACCTTGTTGGTGAAGGCCATCACTCCTGTAATCAACCTGGTAAATCTCCTCTGGACCCTCTTCAGGATCTTAACATTTTTCCCCCCAAAGTGTGGTGGCCAGGAGTGGGTGAGATTCTCCAAGTTGAAACTTTTGAAGAAGGTACATAAAATAACTTCTCTGTTTTTATACTCAGGGAACTTTGATTTCTGAAGGTTTGTCCCTTGCGTTTTGCTTACTTCTCATTCAGTATTTTCTGCCACTTTCAAAGACCTATACACAGCATTTTATTTTGGCATTTTCAGACAAACATATCTCCGTTTAAAACAAAAAAAGTTGAGTTCAGGTTGCATTTTAGACAGAGATACAGGTTTCAATGTGCCCAGAAAATTCAAGGCAAGTTATCACAAGCAACAGAATGGCTTTCTGAATTGATCCAGTGTTATTATATTGCAGGACAGCAATTGGTTCTGTGTAATGGCAAACTGGGTTTTGAACCCAATCATCAAGACATTAATGCAGTTTAAGCATTGGTGCTCCGATTGCATCTTCCTTTCCCATTACCTAAAAAAAACAGATTATCTAGTCAGCATCCAGTGCAGTTTGCAGGACTGTAATGTGCAAATTGGCTGCCATATTTTCTATATGAGCACTTGTTACTTGTGAAATGTAGTTACTAATACAAAACAAAAAACACAGCAGATATTGGAAATCAAGAAAAAATTGAAACAAAGAATCCTGGAAATTTTCAGTAGATCAGGCAGCATCTGTGCAGAGAGTTTGTTTTTCAGGTCAGGATAATCTTTCATTAGAACTGTTAGCTGTTCATCAGTTCTGATCAAATATCCTCTTGACCTAAAATTTTAAACTTGGATAGCTCCGCAGTTGTAATCGGAGCTGCTGAGCCAACCAAGAAATTTTCTTTTTTAAAAAAAAAAGGCAGCTAGAGCTTTGGGACATCCCCTACCTTACCGTGGCAGTTCTACAAACAGAAGTGCAAAGGCTTGACTGAAGCATTTCGGCAGATTTACAAAGGGTTTGCAATGCTCTTCGTGACAGCATTAGTGCATTCTGTAGCATCTAGGAAAGGATTCTCTAGCACTGATAGCTTGCTCCATCATAAAAAATGTCAGCGTGGCTCAAGGGACAGTTCATAGATATTTTCCCACAGTTAAAACGACACTACAGTCCTAGAACCAAACAGCAGGCTTGTGACACATCCTTACCTACAACTTTCTTGGTCTCTCAGTTGAACCTGGCTTTGAGACTCTAGCTAAGTACCGACAGTGTCCTGCTGAGGTTTCTCAAGAATCACTTCAGTTTCTTTTCCCCACAGTGGAGTGGAACTGAATATTCACGTTCCCACCAGGCGCTTTCAAGGTGCAGTCGGCTCTGTGCAATAACAGGCCGGGGTCTGTTCAGGGTAGCAGTGGCCTGTATGTGACACAGTTCATTAAAGTCGATGAGCGCAATGTGAGCAAGAAAAATGCCTTTGACACTCCAAGCAACTGATAATTTATTGGCTGCAATTCACAACTGTAAATCAAACCAGATATCCATGTCATACCATGCAGAAGACAGGCACTATTGCCAGTGTAACTATCCAGAGTTACCTCATTCCAAAATGATTTCCCATTTATTTCCTCATTTTCTGCAAATGCACTGGAGAAAGAAATGGTGGAAATTTTATCATTTCACCTGCTTGGAATATTACACCACTTCGTGTATTTAAAATGTGCTGACAACTATTCTGCTCAGCAGATATTGTTGCCAGTTTTTGCAAAAGCATTTGTTTTACTGTCTTGATTTTGTCTCTGTCACTTCTCTTTAAAAACTAGAGTGCAGCCTGTGATCAAACTTCACTTTTACAGGATAGTTTCCATCACTCCATTCTTCACCTGGTCTCCTGTAGATAAGGCAGGCAATGTGATAGTGAGCCCAGGATGATTACGAAGGATATTTGATTTCCACAATGCAACGACAGCTACATCATGAAAGATGTATGTCAAACTATGTGATATGCACTCGGTGGATGGGTCTGACACAATAGTATATAAGCATTTAGTTTTGCTGAATAAATCCATTGAATTGGTTGTTTGACAATGCTGTAGCGTACACTGCAGGAAGGCAAGTTCTACGGGCTGAACCTTAAACTAATGGCATGTGATTTTTGGTCTGTGTCACTGAAGAGGTTTAATGTCAAACTTAAGTATTTCAGCAGTCACCGTGATTTCTTTCTTTTAAAAAAAGAATGCGAGGGGGGGTTCCTGGTATGTAATGGGGTTTTGTTTTCATTGGGAGAGTTTACCAGTGAACAAAGCTCCATCATTCAATAAGGGGATGGTTGATCTGATTATGGCTTTGACACCAATGTCCTGCCTGATCTACTAAACCCTCGACTCCCGTATGTTAAAAAAAAAACTGTCCACCTCAGCTTTGAATATGTCCAAACACTCGGGATCCACAGCTATCTAGGATATAGAATTTCAGAGGTTTGTGACCCCGAGAATCTGATCTTCCTCATCTCTGTATTCAATGATCAATCCATTGTTGTGATACCACATGTAATTTGCATCAAGAAACTAGTGCTTACAGTTTTCCCCTTGTTCCATAAAGTCAGCATATCCTTCATAATTTAAGATCATTCCACAGCCAGAACTGAATACACAGCTTCCTGGCTCTTTGCAGATGGCCTGGTTTGTAAGGCAGTCAGATCTTTTGCACACTTGCTTGCAAAAAGTTGTTTATTGTCAGAAATGGTTCTAGCAAAGTACCAACAGATAATTATTATTTCTCTGATTAGGTTTTCCTCACTCGATGTGTTATTCATTTGCCAAAGTAATTGGATGGCTGTCCACTGGGAACAACCCATTAAATCCAATTCTTGGGACAAGGAGTGGTGGGGTGGGGGGGGGGGGGGGGGGAGAGAGAGAGAGAGAAAGTATTCATAGTCAAAAAAAATACTTTGGATGAGGTAAGTCATGGAAGACTATACAATCTAGAACGTTGCCTGGAAAAATCCCCAGTCTACGCAGAAACATCAGATGGTGGAACAGAAATTGCTGACAAAGCTCAGTCGGTCTGGCAGCATATGTGAAGAGGAATCAGGGTTAATGTTTCGAAGTCAAGTGACCTTTTCTCAGAACTGGTGGTTTGGGGAGGGGTTAGGGGGAAGGCAAGCAGCAAAATTGGGTGCTGGCAACCCAGGATATGAACCTGGAACATTCAGCTCTGCATTACCACAGTAATGCACCGACAAGTGCCTTTACCACCAAATAAAAACCGAAAGAACTGCAGATGCTGTAAATCAGGAACAAAAACAGAAGTTGCTGGAAAAGCTCAGCAGGTCTGGCAGCATCTGTGAAGGAAAAAAAAAACGAGGAAGGGTCACCGGACTTGAAACATTAACTCTCTTTTTCCTTCGTAGATGCTGCCAGGCCTGCTGAGCTTTTCCAGCAACTTCTGTTTTTGTACCTGCCTTTACCACAAACATGTTTATACATTGTTTCAGAGATAGTAGGAACTGCAGATGCTGGAGAATTTGAGATAACAAGGTGTAGAGTTGGATGAACACAGCAGGCCAAGCAGCATCAGAGGAGCAGGAAAGCTGATGTTTCGGGCACATATGCTGCCAGACCGACTGAGCTTTTGCAGCAATTTCTGTTCCACCGTCTGATGTTTCTGCACAGACTGGGAATCTTTCCAGGCAACGTTCTAGATTTTCTGAAGAAGGGTCTAGGCCCGAAATGTCAGCCTTCCTGCTCCTCCGATGCTGCTCGGCCTGCTGTGTTCATCCGGCTCTACACCTCATTATCTCATGTTTATACATTAATCACATGTTAAATGTTACTTTCAGCAACGTGTGTCTTGTATTCATTAGGACAAATGCAACAGTGCCAAGTTTCAAACCAATTTATACTACAGGAAAAAAGATCAGCCAGATGACCCTGATTGGTTGAAGGATCACCATGGAGAAAGGAAGAGTGAATGATAGGCTCACCAAGCTCCCAAAGAGTTCAAAATCTTCAGCAGTACCTCCCAATTTTCAGGAAAAATTCTTAACATCTGTCCTGACAACTTTTCCATAATCATTTCCTATGGCCTTAATTATAACAGTACAAGTGATGTGTAACGTTAGTTCAGTGAGGTGGTGTGAATAGCTGGGTGTGTCATTCCCCAAGCCTGCACCTGTCTTTCCTGGGACTCGAATCCCACATATCAGGTTTCTATTGCCACTATCAAAACTGCTCTGATCAAAGTGACAAAGGTAAGCTTTCACTCCTGGTTTGATGCAATTAGTCTGTAGCCCTTAACATAATGACCCGCTTTTAACCTTTTCCAAAGGTTCTCTAAGATCATTCAACACAGTGTGTCTGCACTCTCCAGGTTCCACTCAACTATCTAATCACAGCCAGAGAATTACGTAGAATGGCTTCTTTCTGTTCCCACCCCCATACAGCTCGTCTCATATCCCCCAAAGATCTTTTCTTGGCCACCCCCAATTTCTCACCGACAAGGCACCTTAGCCGCATTATTCCAGAACAAATCTGCTTCCACACGTTTAACCTCCTCATCACAACCTCCCTTGATCTCTGCATTTTGCTTAACAGTCAAAACTGCTCCAATATTGAACAGGCAGAAGTTTCCTCTTTCTAAATATTGGAAAAACTGAAGCCAGCAGTCACCAACCTAACCTGCATTCCCAATCCAGCAGCGCCATCCTTCTTCCAGCACACCAGATACTTTGGAAATTTGGTGACACGCATCTCACCAACTTGAGTGTCTGACCACATACCTGTCCAACTAAGACATGCACATTTCTCCTCCACAACACCACCTGACCCTGTCCCGACGTTACCTCTAGATTTTTTCCTATTCTAACATAGAAAGCTCCCAATATTCACCCCAGCCCCCAAACCCTCACTTTCCTGGTCACTCTCATTCCTGCTTTCAAGTCACCTCTGACCAAACTTGTGGTTACCTGCTTTAGCATCTCCTTGTGTGGCAAGGGGTCTTGTATTTTGGGCAGACTCTGCGAAGCACCCTGTTTTAGTACACGTAGGGTGTTATATGTTTGTATCTGGTTAGCAAAGAAATTCAGTGTAAGAGAGAGGCCAAGGGGACAGCATTCTGGTTGGGTATGGTGCCCATTTCTTGCCAGCCAAATACAGGGTGGTTACACAAAAGTCAGGGAAAAGCACAGTATAGGCACAGAAGGCATCATAAAGTAACCAAAGACTGGAAAAACAGAGGCTTTTCCCAAGTCTTGAGAGATTCATGCAGAGTTGCGTAGAGATCGTTGGGAAAAAATGAGCAAGTCTGGACTGTTATTTTTAACAGCATATTTCTCAGTAATAGGATCCAGAGGTTTATACTTAACGTTTGAAATGGATTCCCAGCACAGCAAGGGAGGGAAATTTGTGAGCATATTTAAAAACACACTGGATATCGTAGTGACGGGGCAGCAGACATACTAAGACAGGATTATCTAGTATCTTCAATCATGCGATCTTATTACATGTTGTTTATAAATCAGTCGGCACTCAAAGTCAAAGCTGGGTGCAAGTCCATTTAATCCGTGGCAAATCAGCAGTTTCAGCTCAAGATAACGTTGTGCCAACTGATGAACCGGCCAGGAAACCCACCACTCTGTACCTCCCTGCTCTTTCCACAGACTTTCAACCACAACACTGCATCATTCTTCCTGCAGGCTCATTGAAAACTCTGGCAAGATGGCAGATACGCCCACCAGCGACACAGGGGCTCAGCTTCAAAAGCAGCAGCGTCAGCAGCAAAGAGCGCCTCAAAGGCACGGCCTGTCTCAGAGGCCTGGTAACCCCTTCGCTTCCAGTTCAGAGCCGGAGATCAAGATAACAGGGTGCCTGTGCGAATTTGAGGAGGAGACAGTGGATGGCAAAGTCCCTGATCAGGAAAGCAGGGGTTAGAGGACAGATGAGTCTCTGAATTGCAAAGGATTACGGAGCAACATCGCTCTTGTGGACTGATGGAGTATCATTTGGGGACAGAGTGAAGAATGTCTCAGACTAGGGAACAGCTAAGAGACTGTTACAGCAATTTGGCAAATTTGCTCCATTACGCCTAATTACACTCACTTACATTCCTTTTCATATTCATTTCCGACCTAATCAGTTCTACACTCCAAAACGGTTAGAAAACTAAATAAAACATACATTTTGAAACCTGAAGTCATACCATTTTCTGTATGAAATACTCAGAAATCAATCTGGGGGTATGAGGAACAACATGCAAACAATTCTAGAATCACTTCAAATTTGTCACTTGGTGTTAAAGTTGAAACATAGCT